AAATTCTAAAAAGTTCAGGAGAAAATGACAAGAAGTGATGTATATGCATATAGAAAAATTTAAAATATATAATCCAAAAAATGTATACCTTCTCTATGACCAAAAGTCGCATCAAAATTACTTTGACTTCCATGGACTTTCTCCGGTATTGTATTGGCATCTCTGAGAACAGAATTTGGCCTGTAAATAAGGTCGGTCCAGTTGTTCCATATGAACACAACTCCAATTGAAAAAATAATTTGTCAGTACTGGTCTCTGTTATATTCAAATAAATCTAATTGAGTGATTCTCAGACTGCGGGTTGGTAACGACCTCTCATGGGGTCACCAGGTTATTTAAGGGTTGTGAGTTGTCGGCCTCTTCTCCCAAGCCCCACTTTGCTTCCGTGGTTTATCATTTAAAAAGAGAGGCGTTCATCACGCCATCTGTCACAGAGAACACTTGAGAATACACTGGAAGACTTGAGAAGTCTGGGTCTGGGATAGGTCTAATGAATAAGGTGTCAGCCTCCAGAACCTGTGGCTGTAGGTTTGAGTCCTGCCCCAGAAGCAGCTGGGCAGTTGCCTCCAGCATCCCCAGGACTAGACTAGAACTGGCACCGGCTGAAGGTAGGGAAGTGGGTTACCAGCTTCCCCGGGGCTGGAGCCAGCAGGTGTGAGCAGCTGACTGTGCAGCTAGAGGAGCAGTGACTAGTCGGGGGAGGGAGGGGCGAGAGCTGCCCCAGTTCAGGTGGGGGGCAATGCTGGCACAAGGGGGCTCCTAATCCTGGGAGGGGGAGGGTTGGTGGAGTGGAGACCCGCTGCAGCTCCTGATTCCCCCCAGGTCCCTCCCACCCCAGCCAAGACAGCTCCCAGGGTGTATGTTTAATTTATAATGCAGGGGGTTCACGCTCAGAGGCTTTGCTGTGTGAAATGGGCATGCTTGGCACGCTGCCCCACCTTGTCCCCTCCCCGTGAGGGACAGGGCCTCAGAAGAGGGTGCGGGGCTGTAGCTGGGGTTGGGGTCCTGCCTCCCCAACCACCCATGCCTGGGATCATTCTTTATTTGTCCTGGGCAGAAATATGGAGGGGAGGTTCCTCCCAGGAAGTTGCAGATGTCACTGTTCATTCTGCTTCGTCATGTCTTCTGTAATACAAGTTCTCCTGATCAGGTTCTCTCTGTGTTTTAAGAGAGACATTCAGGGCATTCCCTTCTGCACTGATTTGAGTTTTTCTGGTGCGTGTAAGTGCACAGTGAGCCAGACTTTGACCCTGTCTTTATCCTAATTTTTCAATTTGTTAAAATACAGTTCTGCTAAATTTGACGGTATTGCCTAGAGTCAGCACATAAAGGTGCTTGGCAAACATACCCATGATGCTCCACCAGTGACCTCCTCTGCAATATCCCATTCAGTTCTAGATCTCTGATAAGCAAAGCTTGCTGGTTACACCATATCTTCTATGATATGGGCAAATATCCATTAGGTACTAAGTGTGGAATGTTACAATGATTACATTTATAGTGTGATGTAAAAACTAGATTTCACTTCAGGGGACGGAAGGAGACAGACGTGAAAGTCACCATATCATCTAGCCTTCTGTCTAGTTGTATAACTAGCTTTCTGCTTATAGTTTAAGACCTCAGTCTGTTTGTCTTGGCACAGAATTTTAAAAACATGTATAAAAGGGGCCTCATCAATTTAAAAATGTCTAAAGTTCTGCTAATCTGGATAAGTATAGTATGTTTACAAAGTCTAGTCCTATGGAAATTATTTGAACCATCTGGCTTTTTCACAGATTTCAAACAGGTTAATATAAGGTGTCCTGCTCCATACAGTAAATACAGCATGTTTATTTACTTAGAACCCAGTCCTGAAATTGTCTTCCTTTGGGAAGACTCATTACAGTCTTGCGGCCTCAGATTCTACAGTGATAAATCTGGGACAGAATTTTCAAAAATAGAAGCCTAAAGTTAGGCTCTTAAATCCATACTTAAGAGACTATGGCTGGGATTTTCAAAAGCATCTAAATTACGTAGGAGCAAAGGTCCCATGGAATTGAAGTTGACTTTAATGGTACATTTCCTCCTGGGCCATGTAAGTGCCAGTCCACTGATGTCCACTTCAACTCAGTTGGACTTTCACCGAGGTGACTTAAGTGCTTTTAAAAATCCCGCTCTTTTTAAGAAAAAGTTGGCTATTTTGTGGTCATCTGCAGAAGTGGGTTTTGCCCATGAAAGTTCATGATACCATATATACATTTTTGTTAATTTCTAATGTGCCACAGGACTACTCGCTGTTTCTAAAATAGTATATTAATCAGATTTAAATCCATGGAGACATGTTAAGTCCTCTAGTTTTCAGGCTGCAGGTCAGAGCTCTAGGTGGGTGGTTGCAATGAGATTATCAGGGAGAGTGAAGTAGGGTGCTTGCCAGATGGGCAGGGCAGCCATGGGGAGATCAGGCAGGGAATCAGAGGAGTGTGATTCTGAACCAGCCTATTGAACTTCCCCTCCTGATTGCTGGGGGCTCTCTGTGCTCTGTCCCAGCTGGGGCTCTGGCCTGCTACACCCTATTTTAAATCATCTGGAGACCTGTGGAGTGAGAGGCTCTGGAGTGGGTGGAAGGAGTATGAGGAGCCCTTATCCTCTCTACTTCCATGGGCTCATCCAAGCATGGATCGAACTGGGTCCTGATGCCACCAAAGGTGTGAGCCTCCTGCTCCCCTCAGAGAGTCAGTTTCTATCCTGGATGGGTGAAACTTGGGTTGCAGGGACAATTATTGTGTAACTCCTGAGGAGAAGGTGAGGCACAGCAAAACTAAAGGTTTGGGAATACAGGCTCTATACTGCATCCTTTAACACAAGCTGTAAAAGACTTGCTTGGCTGAATCCTTACCACTAATTTTCTCTCTCCACAAATGGGAGTTACTCTACTTTCTCTGTTACTACAATTTATAAAACACCATACATTTCTCACCCTACTGAGCTGCTACAGATGCAGTGTCCCTCAGTGATGTGTATAATATTTTTTAGGTAGCCAAGAAAGCCATGAGGTAAAATTTTAAAAAGCACCTGCTTCCTTTTTAAAAAATGTCTTCGATGCTTAGAAGCCTAAATCACATTGATTTTCAGTGAGATTCTGGAGGGCCAGATTTGTAGGGTATTTAGGTAGCTGAAAATGGAAAGAGGCACCTACAGGGGTTTTCAGAAGCACCTAGATGTCTAAATTCCATGTCCATCATCCTTGAAGACCTTTACTCTTGGGTCTGTCATGAAAGTTGAGTTCTTCACACAGTAGTTTTGAAGACTCTGACCTGCCCAGAGCTTGCAAAATACCAATACTACAAAAGGAAATGGAAAATATGCCCCTAAACCAATGACAGTGATGAAAACAGAGATGTTTCCTGAACAGATGAGAGTGTTCTATGTAATTTAGATTGTGTTGACCACCAAGATGCACTAGGTTCCTTGGCACAAAGGAGGACACAGACCTTGTTCTGAATTATGTATAATCCTAAAACCCAATAATTAGCATTGCCAGTAGGCATGTGTGCTGCCTCCACACATATCTCAAACCCAAGTGCTAATTAAACACTCTTATCTGTAATACTCCCATATTTATTAAATAAAACCATTCTAAATACTGATTCCTAAATCAAGCGCTATTAAAAAACAAAGACATTCCTATTTATACAAGTTCATTGCCAAAGCCCAATTATCCAGTACACTCAGGTCTGCTCAGATTGATCCAGACTATGCTCTAAATTAAAGCCTAATATAGGAGTCCTCATGCAAACAAAGAGGCTGCTTGAAAGGTAGTTTTGTCCATAGAATTGGCCTGTTTCTAGCCAGTTGGAGCAGGAAAAGGTTCTGCCAATGGACACACCTTTGTGATAGGAAAAATAATGTACTGCCCTTTTACGGGGTCACTTGTTTGTGGGCATCCTACATTAAGTCTCCAGAAAGGATGTGAATGAAGAGCAGGCAGTGGTGTGGCAGAGTACAGCTGGGCAAGAATTCTGTGTATGAGCAGGGTGGAAGAAGGGAGGGTGATGTTTGGGGGAGAAGTGAATGAATGAGGCATTGAGATTGGTATCTGTGACAGAGCAGAGAGGGCCAGGGTGGTGCAGTCAGACAAGATTCAGGATGTAGGGGGAGACCCAATGATGCAATGCCTTGAAAGTGAGGACAAGCAGTTTCAATTTGATGTGGAGAATGGGGAGCCAGTGGAGCCATGTATAATTGTGGAGTAGGTAGAAGTGGGCATATCTGAGTAGGAAGTTAATGTTAGTGATGACCTCTTGAATAAGCAGGAAGGGGTGAAGTGCCTATCAGTGACGTCAGAGAAGATGGAGGTGGCATTTTTAAGGCATGGATGCAATTTCTGTAGCTGTCAGGGAAGAGAGAGGAATTTTTGGGACTTTAATATGTCTTGGAGGGAGGACAGAATTTGGATATTGCTTTTTCTTAATGTAAATCAGTAACTATTTCTCCCTCCATTTATCATGTCTCCTGTCTTTAAACCTTAGCAGCAGCATAGTCTGATCCATCTGAACCACACCCCACCACTGGGTCTGGGAAGGGAGGCTGTCCCCTCACTTGCTTAGCTCACCTATGCACCACTTTTGTCCTTTGAGGAGCTTGCATGCCAAGTAGTTATGATATGAAATTAGGAGCTTGTATATGTTAAACAGCATGGTGGTAAATTCTGTTTATAAAAAGTACTTCTAAGCAATGGCATTTTGTGAAGAGCAGTTCCTGAAGTCTTGGCCATCTAAGCAGAGAATGCAAGATATCACTTAAGATTGTAGAAGATATAACATCAGAAGTCTGGTGATAAAAGCCCAATTCTGCAGCCTTTGCAAAAGGCAGAGTTCCCTTTAGCATCAATGGTGGTTTGCCCTACGCTGCAGGAGTGAGTGCTGAACACTGAAGCCTTCTGACTTTCAAAGAGATGCAAGAAGAATATCCGATATGAAGCAACATATATAAATCAATAACTTTTTCCTTTCTTCATTAAGGTGAACACACGCAAGAAACCAATTCACCTCATTCACTAAAGAAGGATGTAGAAAACATGGGGAAAGGTAAAAAAAAAAAAAAGCAAACGCAGCTTTGATGTTATTAAAGTGTTCTTTGTTTTAATAGAATATAAGGATAATAGGGAAGAATTTTTGTTCAGCGCCATATTTTAAGCTTGACAAGTAACATATGAATAATATATGGACCTTTGGGTGGATATAATTGAGATTAATGCATACATATCAATCAATACATGACACTGTAATACAATACTTTAAAATAATATATTACATTGATTTATATTCATGGATTTCTGCACAAAATCTATCCTAGGTCTATGCAATGCCTTTTTTTTTAAACTACTAAAATATTTTTCTTATAATAATGAATTGCCACACATAACAGTTCTCTCAAGAGTTATTTATACACATTAGTAACACAGCTCTTCTTTTCTCTTTGTTAGAAGAACTTCAGAAGGTTTTGTTTGAGCAAATAGATTTACGGAGGAGATTAGAACAGGAATTCCAAGTGTTGAAAGGAAACGCTTCTTTCCCAGTATTCAGTAAGATACGTTTCTGTGTTTTCACTGTTGTATGTAGAATGTTATTGTTATTTATTATCAGCCTATAAAAGTATAGGAGTGATATTCAAAGTTGTGTTTGTCACTAGACATCTAAGATGGCCCCATAGAAATAGATGGGAATTTTACCATGATGGGAATTCTACCAGATTTCAGTGCCAGTAGATCAGGCCCTTAGTCATAAATTTGAATCAAGGTTATGTTTATATTTGCCAGAATACACAAGAATTTTGTCACGTTGCTTTTCGTAAATTTCCTCTACCTGAAACATTAGGGGTCCCCAAAACCGGATCCACTGCTTGTATTCTGACCAGGAAGGCAGCATAATTAGCCACACCCCATTGAAGGGGAACCTACAGCATTAGGGCCTGTGCCACACCTGTTCTTCTGGTAGCTGGCTAAAAGGAAATGGCTGGGGCTTCACTCTGCCCTGTAATGCCTGTCTGTTGCATCAATCCCATCAGGTCTTTATAGCCAGTGGCCTTCAGGATGTTCTAAATGATGCTGGGGGGGACTAGCCCCGCCTAAATTTGAGGCACGCAAAGGCCACTGCTGCATTTTCCATCCTGAGGTGGCTTCTGTGTTCCTTGACGTTGTGGAGGATCGGGGCCAGTAAAAGGTGATGGAATATGCCATATAAACAAATGATTATGAGGAACTTCATAAAACCATTGTGGAATTATCTCACCATGGGTGTGGTGAAAAACCAATTGCTTCAGGTCTTTGAGAATAGACTGAATGAAGCAATGGAAAATACGCTGCAAGGAAAAATCCTGCACTGGCCAGGGACGGACTAGACGACACAATAGGCCTTTTCTCTTTATGACTTCTATGATTCTCTAGCAGTGGGCAGGCCAAAGTGCCTCTGCAGCTCTCTGCTACTTCTAATGCCAGGCAGCACAGTGCTCAGAACTGCAACCCAGCTCTCTCCATGTACGGCCACTGTGCATAAGGAGATGTCACTGTTGTGCAGCTGTTCAAGCACACAATCCTCTGCTGCCATTTGCTCCAATGAAGACTGATGGAGCCAGGCTCAGTGTTAAAGGAAGCTTGAAAAGGAAAAAAAGAAACTGTGTGTGTCCTTTTCTGCTTCTTTATGTTGGTTAAGGAAGACCTGCAAGTTTGGTTGCATTTTTGTTTGCATTTTGGTTGCATTTTTTGTTTGCAAACTCTATTAGCTTTTAACTTTAATATCAGGTCTAGTCTATGCCCCTTTTGCTATAGGCTTCTGTAGATTGACAGAGAATTATTTGAATAGGATCTCACCAGAATCTAAAAGCTGAACCTTAATCAGCTGGGAGAGGAAGGCTTTTTAGTGGATGCTTGGTTTTTTCTTATCACTTATCTGGCAATTACTTGGGCAGAAAGCTCTAAACACACTACTGTTTCTTGAGCTGCAAACCCCTCCAGTTCTTTGTTTCTGCAAAGAGACCTTCCACAAATATCAATGAAGACAAGACTTGATATGCCAGATATTCACATTAAAAAAACAAGGAGAATAGGTCTTTGCACATCACAGAGAAGGGAAAAGGGAATATAAATAGTATTTTCCCCACCTTTAAGTAGAAAAGAGTAGAATTTTACCTAAAAAAAGGCATGATATTGGGGAGAATACAGAAAAGGAAAGGAATGCAAGTTAAGTCTCCCTAAATGTCTCCCATCTTTAGCCTGGACATAAAAAGATGTGCACATCTTCATAAATTAAAACAAAGAAAATCCTGAGACTATGTGAAATATGCCATAAAATAAGGGTGTCCCAATATGTAGTGCAAATTTAGCTACTGGGCTTGGAACTTGATGATTTTAAAGTAATTCGTGTACTTCAATTCATGTACTTGAAAGCATTTATGTTCCTGGGGTTGTAAAAATGGCATCTTGGAACCTTGCCATTCAGGTCTCACATTTATCCTTTTGTTCTGCAGTAAAATTAATACCCTATCATTGCCATGTAAATAAACACTGCAATTAAACCGCATGAAATACAATTCCAATGAAAGAAAATAATGCATACTTCTGACCAAGGAAGTGGCATCTGTGCGCACCAGCATGAAAAATAGGTGGTTTCAATATACCGCAAAGCAGTGGTCAACTTTACTCTGGTTTAAAATAGAAAAGAAATAAATTCTTGTGCTATATGCACTAGATATCAGGAACTGTAATACCTATTTACAAATTTAAATGTAACAAACAGCCCCCCAACGTAGTAAAATGAGAGAACAGGCCTTTCTAAAGCAAACATGTGTAGTACAATACTAGCTATGTTTTCCCCATCCCTTCCCCTCCGCCTTTGCTCTGCTGCTATCTGTGAAAGGAGCTGCTCTTTCGTTCTAGGTCCTAGGTTTGCTCCTCATTGATGACTGGTGCTGGGGCCATCACAAACGGACCAAGTGGTCTTATTAAAAGGTAGTTGAATTGAAAATGGAAAGGAATTAAAAGTACAGAAAATGAGTGGTTGAAGGAAGATGGACCTCTTCTTTCTGTCACTGATTCAGAGGCAGTAGAGTTGGAGAAAGAGCATGGAGCTGTGAAGCAGCAGGCCCTGATTTCCAATACCCTCACTATGTGATCTCGAGCAACTTGAAGGGTTAAATGGGCCATGGAGGTGAAACTGTGCTCCCATCTCTAGACCTGGCTGGGGTGAAGGTATACTAAGGGGGGCCTTGCACCTCCTTTTGCAAATCAAAGGAAAGGTATAGAACAGGCAACAGCAGCTCTGCCAGTCTAACAGGTCAGCACCTTCAAAAATCAAATGAATAAAAATAAAGAGGAGTTTATCATCTTGTCTCTGGCAACACATGAATTTGGAAAACCACTTCATAACAGCCAGGCAAGCCAGCTGAAGTTCTATCCCACAGCTTAGATTGTAAAGCCCACGGCTTGTATGTCCATAAAACACTGAGCGAATTAAGAGTACTGGCAGTGCCATTCAGGGCAGTGCCAATATTCACATTGCTTCTCCCTGGTATTATGCCAAGTCCTTTGTTCTAGGTTATACAGGGAGTCCATGGTAGAGGAAGAAATGGAATCTGGTTTCCCGAGTCTCAGGCTAGTGTCCTAATGGCCAAGGTGTAAGCCTACTTCCTTTACTCATTAAGTCAATCCCTCCTCTGGTATGTTGGCATCTCTGTTGTTGAAGTGGTGTATGCAGTAATCTACATGCAATCTCACTTGTGCAGGGGAGGACTGTCACCTCCAGGACGGTGCCTTAGGTTCTCAGTTTAAAATGGCATATGTTTTGGGTTGATTTTTTGCCACACTATATTGAAAGTTCCTATCCAGTTGTCCCTTGTACTCCTGAGGTCATCTTCAGTGTTAGAACATAAGAACGGCCATACTGCGTCAGACCAGTGGTCCATCCAGCCCAGAATCCTGTCTGCCAACAGTGGCCAATACCAGATGCCCCAGAGGGAGGGAACACAACAGGTAATCCTCCCGTGATCCCTCCCCTGTCACCCAGTTCCAGACAAAATAGCTGTGTTACAACTATCTAAGTATTTCCCTTCTCATAAAGATCTTTATTTTCTGTTGTAATTCGTCCAATTTAGAATCTCATTTTTTCCCTTCTAAATTATGTGGCCTTCTAAATTAGCTGCCTCTAGAAATTTCCACTACATGCATCTGATGAAGTAGGTCTTTGCCCAGGAAAGCTTATGCTCCAATACATCTGTTAGTCTATAAGGTGCTACAGGACTCCTTGTCACTAAAGTAGGTAGGACTCTTAATCCAACAGCAAAAAATAGTTTATATCCTGGTGAGATTTTTCTTCAAGAGCTTTAGTGTGATCTGGTTATCAAGAAGGAAACCAAACACTGTTGCTTTATCTAAGGCTATGTCTATACCACAGCCAGGATCCACAGTCTGAGATCAATCCACTAGTGGTCGATTTAGCGAGTCTAAAATCAAATCAAGCACAGATAGCTCTGCAGTCAACCCCTGTACTCTATCTCCATCAAGAAGAATAAGGTAAGTCGATGGGAGAGTTTCTCCTTTCGACCCTGTACAGGATAGACCCTGTAGCATCTATGTAAGGTACGTCAACTCCAGCCACTTTATTCACACAGCTGGACTAGCTTACCTTAGGTTGACTTTCTGCAGTAGTGTAGACATAGGCTTAGAATCAAATAAAGGAAAGCCAGCTTGCACTGTAACTCAGCTGTCTACAATATGGTGTTCTGCCTCTTCAAAAATCTCCCTTCTCGTTATTTTATAGAGTTTGTTCTGTTTCCTGAGTCTTCTGGTTGGGATTTTAGTCTCCAGCCCTGCTTTATAAAGATGCAATGCTTATCTAATACATTGATTTAGAGCGTGGTGAGCTAAGTGTGACTCTTTAGTGCTAAACTGCCATGTGCTAAGCCATGTACTACATGTTCTGTAGTAGTCTTAGTAAGTTAGGGTACATCTAAACTACATGCCTCCGTCGACGGAGGCATGTAGATTTGTGTATTCAAAAAAGGGAAATGAAGCGGCGATTTAAATAATCGCCGCTTCATTTAAATTTACATGGCTGCCGCGCTGAGCCGACAAATAGCTGATCAGCTGTTTGTCGGCTCAGCGCGCTAGTCTGGCTCCCCTGCCGACATCAAAGCCCTTTGTCGGCAGCCCCGGTAAACCTCATCCCACGAGGAATAACGGGGCTGCCGACAAAGGGCTTTGATGTCGGCAGGGGAGCGTCCAGACTAGCGCGCTGAGCCGACAAATAGCTGATCAGCTGTTTGTCGGCTCAGCGCGGCAGCCATGTAAATTTAAATGAAGCCGCGATTATTTAAATCGCCGCTTCATTTCCCTTTGCCTATAACCCTAATCTACATGGCTCCGTCGATGGAGCCATGTAGTCTAGACACAGCCCTAGTGTGCACTACGGTAGGCTAATGTTCTGTAGCCCACTCCAGCTTGCCACACACTAAGCTGCCATAGCCCTGAGTCGAATCTTATCCTATAACTGTTCTCTTATTGAATATCTCTATGGAAGTCATACATTTATACCAGTACATCTGAGAGCACAGTTTGACTCTTTTACATGATTTTGCTCTTCCCATTCAAGCCTATGGAAATTTTGCTAAGCAGTGCCTTAAGAATCTGGCCCATAGAAAGAATTACATGGGATTACCAATTTCTTCTTTCCAGTTAGTACTGATTTGAGCACCTGAATGCTAGATACCTAGACGGAGCACCTAAACTTCGCTGCTAGCATTTGAAAACTCAATCTTTAATACAATGACAAAACTTAATTCATCCAAAACATTTCTGTAATCATCCTCCATATTCTGTCCCATCGCTAGAGGTGGATAATTTTCAGACACAGGACTGTGCCACATTTAACAAATTCTTCAGTGGCACTTTGACTTGATATGTGCAAAATCTGTGGCGCAGTTGATAATTTTAATTCATGTACGTGAACTTTCTCCCTCCCTTCCCCTATCTACACAGATAATTTTCAAGATCAAATGAAACGGGAGCTGGCCTACAGAGAAGAAATGGTGCAGCAGTTACAAATTGTAAGTTGTCCTTCTCTATAGGAAATGTTAAGAACCATCCTGTACTCTCTGATTTACACTGATAAATATATTCCTCCCATTTTGTTTAAACCATACAAGTGTGCTTTTACTGAACTCATATTAATTTCTATACAGTCAAGCTTGAGTGTGCAGTTCTCTCAGCTGGTTTGAAGTCTAATTACTAGGAGATTTACTGAGCAATACAGTCAGCAGATGTATCTGCACAATTCAGATAAATTGAACTACTTTCCATGGGTTGACTTAACAGAGAGACGTACATCTTCAGTGAAACTGAGGATTTACCTATACTACTAGCCTGGTGAAGAGCAAGCAATTAAATGTCTGCATATTGTGCTGGCAATGCTCCCCCGGGCATAGATGCACGCTGGGTAAAATTCATCCCTCTGCAAAGGGTTGGCACCAGGCCTAAGCTTTAAACTGTTTATAGACTTGTGGCGGCTGTTTGCACAGTGGATGAATTTCACCCGTTTGCAAAAAGTGATTAACTGTGGTAAGGGTCAGGTTTTGAAAACACAGCAAAATGTATGCGCATGTAACGGTTAAACCTTACTGATTCATGTAAAAGTGAATTATTCATGACTGTGGGTATCTACAGATCTGCCTTTAAATCTTTCTATGCAATGGGTCTCATTTAAAAATTTGACCCCAAAGCTCTAATTTAAAGTGACACAAACAAGGATATTAGAAGTTGAGGTTGCTCCATCCTTAATTTACAGAATTCTGCTTAGATGGTGCTGAAATCAAAGAACCATCTTTCACAGATGAAGAAGTATCTAGTAAATGGAAGGGTTTTAGTTAATGTTCATCTTGTAAGTGCCAAAACTTCTTAATGCAGTCATCAGTCTGGTGTTGTTTGACACTTCCATGAGGCAGGTTTCGCAGATATCCCTGATGATTTGGAGTTGTTCTGCAATAGATGATCTATATCTGGGGTCGTCCAACCTATGGTTACTGTCAAGTGCCAAAAGATGTATTGGAACTCTGAAGTGAAGCTGAAGGCCAAAACGATCAAACTCTTGTTAAATACCTTTGGGAGTGGTCTGATTATTATTATTTTTTTGACAGAGAGAGAGAGAGAGAGATGCTGAGTTGCCAAACTCCAGCTAACTTTAGAGAGATTGCAGTGGAAGCTGGGGGTACACAGTATCTCCAAAAGTATTGCCACTTATGTAGAAGCCCAAACTCTGGTAAAAGAAACCATGATGATGATTGAGATTATTTTCATGTCATAGGGTTACTATTATTCTCCATCCCTTTCCTCCTCCTTCCCCTCCCCCACACATTTTGGAGGGGTGATTTGCTAAATACTCTGATCTTTTCCAGGAGACTTCCATTGAAGTCGGGCAGGATATTTGTCAGACCTGTATATAGTTTAGCAGCAGTAGCTGGAGATCAGTGCCCCATCTGGTTAATGCTTAAGCAGGTGCTTTTATCTTTAACACTTGAGTAGTCCCATTCAGCTCAATGGGACTAAGCTTGGAAATAAAATTTAAGCAAATGTGTAAGTGTGTGCACGTTGGGGGCCCAATTAGCTCCACTCCCAGCAGTATTCCCTATAAACTAGGAGGCAGCCCAGCTTCACAGGTGATTCATCAACCCCACCCAGTCCGCGTCTCAGGGCTCCATGCACAGAGCTGACTGGCCTGGGCTGATTAATCATCACCTGTGAAGCTGTGTTGCCCTGCCTCTTAGAGGGAACACTGAGCCCCAGTATTCTCTTCTTTTGGATGTACTTGCAGCAGACTACTATGGCTATTGATCTGCAGCTAAAAGAGCACCCCCCCAAACCAGAGTCTGAATGGATCACTTCTATAGTGTTCCTAATTATTGAGGAATCAGAGTTCTGAAGTTGTATGAAGAAGTAGCTCTTCTTGATTTCCTTCATCCATCCATCTAACCGACTATGGCAATTTCCTTGTTACAGCAAATGCAAAAATCACGAGGTTGAGTGCTTTGTAGTTTTGGGGGAAAAGGTTTGTTTTGGTTTTTTTATGAACAGGAATAGAAGTGTCGTCATGGTAATTTGCATCATCTTTGTTTCCCAATGCCTGTTAGAGATATACTAATAGTAACTTAATAAATGGTTAAATAGCACTGCATGGATGTATTTTTAGTGACAAGCTCTAGTCTGCATTTTTAAGTCCTGTGTGAAAATGTAAGAGTCTCTTCGCTATTCATGAGACTGTCTAAGTTCCATTGTTGTTTAATTTTGTCAGAGCTTTGGGGAAAGAAAAGTAACTGTTTAGGCCAAATTCTGATCACATGTGTAGCCCCATTGGTATCAGTGTGGCTGCCTTGGTACAACTTGGCCTTAATTGTACCAAGTATTAGCATAAAATAAAGTATTAGCATAAAATAATGCAGCAAATAGCTGATGATTTCTCTAAATTCAGTGTAAAAATCTTCATTAATGTTTTAATTGAGAATTTATACATCCAGTCAGTACATTTGAAGTTAAGCTTTCTACAGGAATGGTAAGCTATTTGCATACCAATGCATTCTGTATTGTTTACATGTTAAGTCCTTAAGGGCCAAATATATCCGTGATATAACTCCATTAACTTCAGTGGAATTACATCATATATTTAGTTTAAATATATGTACATTATCAGAGAATCATAATTGGAATTTCTTCTTTTTTTGCGGGGAGAGGGGTATATCCATTGATGGTATTGGATTAATGTAGTTGTCTGCACTGACAAGAAGAATATAGATGAGAACTATTTGTGGCCTATTCACATTATTTTCACTGGAGAATTTTTGTTAACTTCATAGGAGTTAGTCCAAATTTACACTTGTGTAACTGACTGCAGATTTTGACCAGCTATACTCGTTTAATGTAACAGTCACAGAAACACATTGAACAAGTTTTATATGAATGTTCTCACATGTATAGGATCATGTCATTCAAATATATTATTTGTGCATGTGTATTTCAATGGGCAGAACTCCAGAAGAACATGGTTACAGCTTTAGTTTCACACATCATGATATGAAAACAGTTCTTGGAAAATAATGTACCATGAATGCACTGTATGCTTTTCAAATATTTATAATTTTGCTCATTCTAAATCAGTGGCTCTCAATCTTTCCAGATTATTGGAAAGAATCTGATTTGTCTTGAATATTACCAAGTTTCACTTTGCTTAAAATCTACTTGCTTATGGGCTGTGACATTATTTAAAAAATTAATCGTAATCGTAATACTTTGATTTCAATAACAGTACAAAGAGTACAGTGATCACTTCATATTGATTTTTATTACAGATACAGCCACTATCCAAGTTACGAACCAACACTTGGTCCGTAACTCGAACTGTTCGTAACTTGGACCCCATTGAGTTACACGCAACTGCGCTGTTCGTAAGCGTGGGTCGCGTTTGTAATTCGGGGACCGCCTTTACGACCGCTCCTTGGGAGCTTTGGTCGTAAGTGCGAATGGTCGTAACTCGACCGTTCGCAACTCAAGGAGCGGCTGTATTCACATTGTAAATGTAAGCAGGGGCTGAACTGGGGTTACAGAAAAAAAATAGTATTTCAATACAAGTAGTGTAGGGCAATTTATCATGAAAGTTTAATTTATAAACGTAAAAATACAGTTAACTCTCACCATTTGCAGTGGATGTGTGCCTGGTATCACCATGAATGGCAAAATCCGTGAATACTGGGGATAGCGGCATCTAGCCCCTGCAGTGAGTGTGGGTGGGCCTTGACCACTGCTGCTGTCCAGCAATATCCTCCCACTTGGAGCTGTGATCCCCACCCCCATCCTGGCCAGGGGATGGAGTGCAGTGGGTGGGGGGGACAGAAGAGACCCACAAATACACAACATCATGAATAGCAATTCCATGCAGAGTCTCCTGTATGTACAAAAAACTATGCTGCACTCAAAAAATAAAACAATGTAAAATTGTAGATTCTACAAGTCCACTTAGTCTGATTTTTGTTCAACCAACCACTCAAACAAACAAGTTTATTTACGTTTATGGGAGATAATGATACCAGCTTCTTGTTTACAATGTCACCTGGAAGTGAGAAAAGGTGCTGAAATGGCAGTATGGGATAGCCATCATCACAAGATATTTACATGACATATGCACTAAAAATTCATATGGTCCACCGTCCTTCAACCCCCATTACAGAAGACATGCATCCATGCTAATGACAGGTACTGCTCGATAATGATCCAAAGCGGTGCGGACCGACTTGTGATAATTTTCAGCATCTGAGTCAGATGACAACAGCAGAAGGATGATTTTCTTTTTTGGTGGCTCAGGTTCTCTAGTTTCCACTTGAGAGTGTTGATTTTTTTAAAACCATGTTCCACTGAAACCATGTTCTACTCCTCATCCTGCTCAGATTTTGTAAGGCACTTCAGATTCTTAAACCTTAGGTAGAGTGCTGTGGCTGTATTGAGAAATGTAACAGTGGTACCTTCTTTTGTGTTTTGTCAGATCTGCAGTATAAGTATTCCTAAAACAAACGTGTACCGGGTCATCATCCAAGATTGCTCTAACATGAAATGTATGGCAGAATTCAGGTAAAATGCGAAACAGAAGACATGTAGTTCTCCCCCGAGGCATTTAGTCAAAAATTTAGTTAACACATTATTTTTTTAAGGAGTATCATTAGCATTGAAGCATGTCTTCTGGAATGGTGAACAAAGCATGAAAGGGAATACAAATGTTTAACCTATCTGGCACATAAATTCCTGACAACATCAGCTACAAAAGAGCCATGTGAATGCCTGTTCTCACTTTCTGGCCTCGGGAGGCAGGCCAATCCTTGCCTACAGACAAAACCCTAACCCAAAACCATTTTTTCCAGCAACCACACATCAGACCTCAAACATACTTGCCCAGGAAAACTACCCCTGCAATAAACTCCATTGCCAACTCTGTCCACACATCTATACAAGCAACAGGACCTAATCACATAAGCCACCACATCAGAGGCTCATACAACTGCTCATCCTCTAATGTGATATGTCATCAAGCACCAGCAGTTCCCCTATGCCATGTATATTGTCCAGACTGGACAGTCTCTACAACAAAGGATTAATGGACACAAGTCAGATATTTGCAGTGGTAACATGCACAGATCTGTTGGGCAGCATTTTCACCTGCCTGGGCACTCATTAATGGATTTAAAAGTAGCCACTCTATTGCAAAGTAATTTCAGGAACCAACTAGAGAGAGACTGCGGAACTGGCCTTCATAAATTCAACATGTTTACCCAGGGATTGAACAAAGGCATGAACTGGATGGGCCGTTATATTCAACACCCAAATGGCATCTAAAGCTAAGTATCTGACATGTACAACCCACTCTATTAGCCTCATTTAGCACAGACCCTATCATTGACAGGTTTTTTTCCTCCTCCCCTCTTTTTCTGCTTCATATTTTGGGGTTTCTGTGCTGCTTCTCTTTGTCTATTGCTCCATTCATCTGAAGAAGTGGGTTGTGCCCACAAAAGCGCTTTTTTTCCCCCCCTTTAGTCTCTGAGGTGCTACAGGACCACTTGTTTTGTTTAAGTCGCTTTCAGGAGACTTTGTAAATAAGAAGTGGACAGCATTATTTCCCATACATGTAAACAAAGCTGTACGTCTTAGTAATTGGCTGAACAAGAAGTAGACTGGTAGGCCCTAAAGTTTTACATTGTTTTGTTTGAGTGCAGTTGTAGATTTTTTTTTTTTTTTTGGTTAAAAATTTTTAAATTGCACTTGTATAATATAGAGATTGCACTACAGTACTTGTGTAAGATGAATTGAAAAATATTATTTCTTTTATCATTTTTACTGTTGTCAGTAATTGTGATAAAGTGAGAACTGTACATTTTGTATTCTGTGTTGTAGTTGAAATGAATATACTTTGAAAATGTAGAAAACATCTAAAATATGTAATACATTTCAATTGGTATTCTGTTGTTTAACCATTCAATTAAAACTGCGATTCATCACAATTTTTAAAGTTAATCATCAATTAAAACTGTGATTCATCACAATTTTTAAAGTTAATCATGTGAATTAATTGGGATTGACAGCACTGTCTGAAATAAAGATATGAAAGTGTCATAGCACACCATTACTAAAAAATTTCTTTCCAATTTCTATTATAGAATTATAAAATAAAACAGTTGGAATACCAATAGTGTATTTACATTTCAGTGTTTAGTTTATAGATCTGTATAAACAAATTTTGTATGAAATTTTAATTTGTACTGAATTCATTAGTGCTTTTATGTTGCATCTTGTAAAACTCAGCAAATATCTAGATAAGTTGATGTGTACCTATTGGAAGGACTCTGCCTATCCCCAGTCTACATGTGCCCTGCTTGAGAACCACTGTTTTAAATCTGAGGAGTTCAGGTCTGGTCATTGGTGACTAAGCCAGTGTTCATTTGGAATTTTAAAAATAAGTTCAGTTTGAGTTATTCAAGTGCAAAAATAACATTTTTGTGGGAAAACACTACTGGGCTGAGAACTAAGCATGAGAAAGTTTGTCTGAGTATTTTGGGGAAAGTTGTCAATTAAGTTTTCAGATGCCAATTATTATGACAGTTGTGTTTTGTTAGTTATTGTAGAAACAGTATTTGAAACTAGTGCTTCACAAATAGCTGGTTCTTACATTGACATACATTCTTTTACCACAGTTGTTGAATTACATTGTGAAACTGCAATGCAGAACCCATGAAATAAATTCCTAACCCAACAACACTGGATGAACTGGAGAGAGACGGTTATTGTGGAGCTATATATCAGTCTTGAAGTGCCCTCTGCTGTTTTCACATGATTCCTGCATTTTATAGCAGTCAGAATACTTCATCATTTTAAAGTTTTCCATTGAAAATTTCACTTAAATAATGTTCAATCAATGCATTTAATTTTTGTGGGTTTTTTCCTGCTGTGGACTTGTAAAGATTATTTTGACTTTCTGATAGGCAGGAGTAAAACTCCTAATTGCTGGAAAAAAATGTGGGCCCATTTCAGCTCTCAGTTACATTCTCTGCAATGAGTAACAACTTTGGAGGGAGTAATTGACTGCAGAATTTGGCCTAGTGTGGGTGGGTTTTTTTTATAGCAATTCAAACCCAGTGTGAGGTACAGCAACTTTTTTGATGAGAAGAGTTGATTAGCTTCACTATGTGCTTTTTGGTTAGTGGGAAATGTTCCAGTCAGATTGTTCCTTCTGCTGAGAAAAAATTGATGATCATCACTTCGAATGCGAAACTGGATTTTGAAACCCTGGATTCCTCCCCCTTGCCAAAAACTGACCTAGCATAGTAATTATGTTTGGAGAAAGAATACATGCTTGGTATAAAATACTCTGGCTTTAGCCAGAAGGATCATCATGCATTACCATCATGGCCCAGGAGAATGAAACTCTATGGAGAAGGGTGGAGTCAATTCATATCTAGTGTAAATGGGTGCTAACCCGTTGAGATGCTCTGGCTTATTGTAGGTCTGATTGTGGTGTAACTTGACCAAATTGATGGGCATCTCCAGACTTCAAAAATCTAACCTGGTACAGTCTGAGCAACTGCTTGAGACTCCAGGACCAACAAGTCTAATATATTCTTCTGAGCAGTTGCATATGTATTTGTGCGCCAACTGAATAAAGCCTGGGCAGCAATAAACAGTGGGAAACATCAAGTGATCCAAAGAGGGAGAAACCCCCAGTGGTTTTCATCAAATGCATCCATTTTTTTAAATTTGACTGTCATGTTTTTGCAAATGGTTTCTGATCAGAGTCTAGTATGGTCTTGCATAGCCTTGGATGTTTTGTCTGTCAAATGCATCCTGCAAGTGGGAGAGAATATTTCATACTGCCTTTTCAAGTGTGGAAAAGATCGGAGGTGACATTTTAGTCTGTTCAGTGCAACAGAAGATGTTACTTCATTATTATTATTCAGCTCTCCAGGAGTTCTGTTGGGTTACTGAGAGACTCTTCTTCACCCTACAATGTAACACAGAAATGCTTTTAAGAAAGTTAGAAATGTAAATCATTCAAATGGTGACCTAACTCTTCCTGTTTGCTTTTTATTTTATTTTATTTTATTTTATTTTATTTTATTTTATTTCAAAGTGACTCTAGCAAACCCCCTTCTCTTTGTTTGCTTAACTTTGGGCTGGTCACAAAGTTTAGATCCATAACTGGAGCCAACTTGAATTTCCTCAACGTTTTGAGATATCCTTTCCAGGGTATTTTGGAGTTGTGTCTATTTCTGGTCCCTTTGAAGAACTGAATAATTCAGTAACTATTTAACTGCAGAATCTGGTCTACCTTTCAGTCTTGCCATTCCTGCAGGTTTTAAAATGATCATGAGTAACTAAAAACCAAAATTCTGTTGAACATTAGATTTTTGAGGGAAGGAGACCGCACTTCTCATTGGAATCTTAAGGGACTACTATAATTTAAAAAAAGAAACACCAGTGGGGTTGCACTAAAATTAAATAGCTCACAATTTTATGATGTATCACAGATAGCCCCTTTGGATGATCAAGGTTCTCGGTATACATGTGAGTATATCTAGTTGTATGTGAACGAGTTCAGTTAGAGCCTGCCTGTCTGCCTTTCTGCCGTTCGGGATTCTTTGACTAGAAGCAGAAATTCAAATCAATGTGTCATTGGCAATACGAGTTTGTTTCTTTGCTTAATGTTTTTAGAACAGATTGACTTAGGTAAGGATATTAGAGGTGGAAATCAGTCTTAGAGTGGCTCTAGATTCCTTGAGCTCAGCCCTGTCCTCCCTCTGTTGGTACTTATGTCCATTGAAACACAACTGTGTAAAAAGTGGTTTTGTGGGGCCTATAGTTGTTTCTTGCTGATTTCCAAGACAGATTTCCTCACTTTAAAAATGAAAAGATGTTTCTCCTGCCTCCCCACGCATAATACCAGCCAGTCATGCAAGCTCAGCTCTCTCCATCTCATGCATTATTGTCAGTAATGAAGATACCGTTGGCCAAATTCTGTGTTTAGTGACACAGTACAGCTCTGTTGTCTTCAAGTTCTACATCGAAATGACCTCTTTGGAGAGACACAAGTCTAAACAAGAACAGAACGTGGCCCCAGAGCTGAGCTTAATTAAGAGTTTTGCTGATTGAGCCAAAATAGAATCCAGCTCTCTCATCCAGAGTTGGTTTGGCTCTGCATGGTTATAGTTAAAACTTCCTTTTGTTACTGATGTCAGCATATATGACTCCATGCTCACAGCAAGCTGCTTTGTTGCGTGGGCAGGTACTATTTTTTTTTAGTTCTTTGGTTGCCAGGGGCCACTGTTTTATGAACTAACCTGTTACCTACTTATGTCCCAGAATGTATTGGGTGAATAAGAGGGAACAGTGCTGCTTCTCCATGGTTTAGTAAATCCAGACTGTAAAAGGATGTCATTGTGGAGTCAGTTGTTGCAAAAATAAAAATAGAGGGACAAACCAAATAACTTTCCTTTTAAATAATTTTGTCATAAGGTGACCCACACTATTTCAGTTGACTGAAAAATGTTTGTCCTGTGTATCCAGAGCCAGATTTCCAAAGGGGCCTCAAACTAGCGGCTGCTTGAGCATGTATGCAAAATCCTATATGCATGCAATTTTGTGTTTTATTACTTATATTTGAGAGATTATATACATACCATATCCAATTGTCACTTTTTTGCACTTTGTGCAATCAGTTTGCACTAATATCGGTGTATATTACTACCTAGTCATAATGGAAGAGTTTAATGCTTACTCTCCATAGTAGTTAAATGATTGCACAAGGTGGAAGACACTGGAGAAACACTCCCTTCCATTGCAAACCGATTTGCACTGAATTTGTTCAAATTGTCACTTGCTAAATGGAAGTTTGTGAATGGATCTTTTTTGGTTTGGATACCTGGTTTTAGGCAAAAATATCACATGCATAAATAGAGACTGTATTGAAAGTCTGCCTCTTAGAAACAATTTTTGCAGCATGTGTTTAAACTACACGTCACTTTCCCTCTGAATAGTCTTTGTGGAGGCTGGCTCTGTTGGCTAACCCATGTTCTCACTAATTTTATGTCTGGAGCAGTTTAGCTAAGCAGATTATTCAGATATAGAGTTAAAACAAGGGCATTGGACAAGTGGAGATTCCAACTTTGAACCAAACAGGTAGCAATTTCAAGTGAGCACCACGTGCATTTCACATGGTATTAAGACACAATGATGGAGCTACCCTCAGTGGATGGTGCACAGAAACATCTTTACTGTTGCTGGTGCAGGTGCACATTCTTGTGCCCTTGCATGTAAGA